ATGAGGGTGAAGTGGCATTGGACGAGGAGCATGGTAACCGCGGGTGAAGTTGAGTTGCGCTACGTGAAGACCACGGGGCAGCCGGCTGACATGATGACCAAGAGGCTGGTGGATCAGCAGCATTGGAAGTGTTGCAAGCTGGCTGGGATGGCTCTGAACTGAGAGAGCAACATATCCTAAGGCCAACAATCCGAGGGGGAGTTTGTTGGTGCAACCCTACGGTTTGCACTCGGCTTGTTGTCCGTGTGCGTGAATGTGTGTGTGTATGGAATGGTATGAGGGCATGGGATAATATATATTTTATGCTTATAATTGTATGTAAATGTTGAGTCATGATGTCGAGTGTGTGTGTCGAGTCAATAGCGAGTTATCGCTAGACGCGTGTTACGCGGTCGTTTGTGTCTCGCGCGCGGTTTCTATTTTGTCGTGCGCGGTTTCTATTTTGTCCTGTGTCGAATGTTCGGCGTGTCGCAGGTGTGTGCAGCAGACCCATCAAGAACTCAAGGATGAGTTTGTGATGAAGAGCCCGAGCCTTGGTGTCAAGCCTCAAGTGATTTCGAAGCTCGCCAAAAGGGTACACCTCAAGATATTGAAGATAGTTACATTACTTTGTGTAGTGTAACATTTCACTTGGTGTAGGCCCTAGTGAAGGGTAGTTTCGAGACCCTTCGTGGTTGGGGACAGTGTGGCACTGTTTCACATCACTGTACCTCGGCTCTTGGGGTTTGTAGGAGCTGGGAGTCATTCCCAACTCGTAACTCTTCCTAACTCTTCCTATCTTGTGTTCTAAGACTATAGTGGCTGCCATAGTACCGTTCGTTCAAACCGACGCTGTGTCGTCAATTCTTTATCAAATCGTGCAATCTAAATTGCTAATTGTAGACGACGTGAAAACGCTCCAGATCCAATTTGAATCAAGTCATTTGCAGCTGTGAGCAGAACGCTATCAACGTTTGAAGCCGCTGTGCAGAAATCCGTCTGTGCTCTCTATCTTTCGTTTTAGGCACATTCAAGCCTATTGTGACTATAACATTCTCTACGTAAGTTCTTCGGCTTTTTTGGGTGATCGCATCGAAGCAGATCTGAAGAAGTGCCTTGACTTAACCGTCTCTACCGAAGTAACCCAATTTCTCGGGTTAAACATCTCGCGAACTTCCTCCGCCATCCACCTCACAGCATCAAAGTATGCTGAGTCACTCGCTAAGCGTTTCAAGATTCCTACAAATTACGTCGCTACACCGTTTCGGTCTACACCCACTGGGTACATTTTCAACAACACCAAACTTTCGGCAGCTGGATTACAACTATACCAGCAGCAACTTGGGTGCCTTCTCTTCGCAGCAGTCACATGTCGTCCCGATCTTGCGTACGTCGCAAGCTATCTTGCACAGTTTTTACGCTGCCCAAAAGAAGAACATCATCTCGATCTTCAGCGCGCTCTACACTATTTTGTTGCAACACCAACAGTCGGACTGATTTTCAACACAGGAAAACCGACCGACAAAATGTACCTCAGTGGATATGTTGACGCAGACCACACTGGTGACACGTCAGATCGTCGGTCACGAACAGGCTACGTTTTTCGTCTCGAGCCAATTGGCCTGATCTCATGGAACTCATCGAAACAGGAACTGGTGTCACTTTCCTCAGCTGAAGCAGAATTCATTGCCGCGTGTGCTGCAACTCGAGAAGGACTATACTTACAGGAATTGCTCGACGAAGCAAAGTTCGTCACGCCGAATCAGTTTACGTTGCAGTGCGACAACCAAAGTGCGATTACCATCGCCAACAAACCCGGCTTCGTCAATCGGACGAAACACATTTCACTACGTTACTTCTTCGTCAAGGAAGCGATCGACAAGGGGAGGATGCGTCTTGTCTACTGCTCCACTAATGACATGGCAGCTGACTCACTTACCAAGAAGCTGACACGACAGAAGTTCCACCACTGCAACCAGCTCAGCGGCGTTTCTGAGACAACCGCTTAACGACACCGTGAGAAACTGAACGAGAATGAATTGACTAAGGGAAAGTTGGGTACAAATGCAAACCCTAGAAAACTGTACCCCATATGTGCTACCCCACTATAGCCTACAGTAGCTATGTCATATAAATCTGACACACCCCCATAGGCAAAGTGGGGGAGAACAAGGGGTCACAAGACCAGTCAAGCAAAGCAAAGCAAGCTCAGGGTGGATCACAAAGTCACCACACATTCCGAGCACAAGTTCAAGGCCACAAGGCCAGTTCACATGCAGGATTACATATATATATAAGGCTAGACAAGCAAGAGCAGGTGTATATATATATATGCAACAGTACAAACAAGGTCAAGGGGTGAGCAAGTGAGGCAAGGTAGGCACAAGACCCAGCTGAGTACAGAAGCGCTGATGATCACAAGGCGCAAGTGCCTTGGTGAAGATATCAGCAGTGTTGGCCTGAGAGGCCACGTACGCAAGCCCCAGCTGACCACGCTGCTGTAGCTCACGAGCAAGGAAGTAGCGGAGAGCAATGTGCTTCGTTCTGTGCTCCAGTCTCTGCTCTCGACACAAGGCCAGCATGGCCTTGTTGTCTACGTACAGCACTGGAGGAGAACGAGGCGGCTCTCCGAGGTCAGTCAGCAGGTAGGTGAGCCAGCGAAGCTCCTGTGCAGCCATGGCCCCGGCGTAGATCTCAGCCTCACAACTGGAGCCGAGAACAGAAGACGAGCGGGTAGCCCGCCACGAAACAGAGCCGGAACCAAGGCTGAAGGTGTAACCCTGTGACGACCGCTGCGTAGCCTGGTCGTCAGCCCAAGAAGCGTCTGCGTGCCTAGTGAGGACCACTGGACTCTGCCCTCCAAGCACAAGCCCCATGCCCGACGTACTGCACAAGTAACGCAACACCCTCTTCGCTGCAGCCATGTGCTCCGGTCTGTGTCTCCCAGGAGCAACATAGCGTGCGAGAATGCTAAGAGGGTATGCGAGGTCAGGTCGTGTGCAGGTCATCAGGTACATGAGGCAGCCAACAAGCTCTGGGTACGGGCCACTCGACTCTACGAACTCATCCGAAGGCAGAGCTGAGAGCGAGTGGCGAGTAGGCAGAGGAGTGGCCTGAGCCGAGGAGTACGTGAAGCCGAAGCGCTGAAGGACCTGCTGCACCATGTGTGACTGAGTCAGGGTAATGGTGCGGCGTGCTTTGTCCAGGGTGATCTGCAAGCCAAGGTAGCTGCGCAGTTCACCCAGGTCTGTGCACGTGTGTCTCTTCTGCAGCTCGGACTTCACGTGGGCGAGTCCAGCAGTGTCAGCTGTGGCAAAGACCAAGTCGTCGACGTACACGAGGATGTAGAACGGCGGCAAAGAAGTGTCTGTGCGCAGAAACAGCGACGGGTCGGCAGTAGAGGGAGCAAACCCAAGAGCCGCAAGTGTAGTCCTCAGTGTGTCGTGCCACTCACGCGGTGCCTGGCGGAGACCGTAGACTGGTCGCCGGAGGCTCCACTGGGTGCCAGGAGGAAAAGACCCAGTGAAGCCAGGTGGGCGACGCAGCCAGATCTCCTCGTGCAGGCTGCCCTGCAAGAAAGCAGTGCTGAAGTCAAGAGAGTGCAGCTCGTAGTCGCGGTGAGCAGCTATGTGCAGCAGTACCCGAAGAGTGGTCATCTTCGGGGTGGGAGAGAAGGTCTGAAAGTAGTCAACTCCCTGCCGCTGACTGAAGCCACGAGCCACGTAACGCGCCTTGAAGACAGGCGGAGAACCCGGCGGTCGCTTCACCCTGAAAATCCACATGCCACTGACGATGTTCGCCCCAGGCGGGGGAACCTCGTCAACGTAGGTGCCTGTGGACTTCCAGGAAGCCATCTCTGTGTCCATAGCTGCCTGCCACTGAGAGGAGTAGGGACCCTCTATCGCCTCCGCGTAAGAGCGCGGAGTCGGGATGTCAAGTGCATCCGGGTCTCCCTCAGGGGTAAGCAGTACGGACACGAGATGAGGTGAAGCAGCAGCCAAACACTGGAACTCCTCCTGCCTGTCCTCAAGGACGTCCGTGCCAAGGGCACACTCACCCCCGACGGACGGAGGACAGACAGACTCAGACTCAACGACAAGTCTAGCAGCGTAGTCTAGACGACAGGGGCAGCAAAGTCGACGAGCTCAGCAACTAGGGCAGACGCAGCAGTGGACTCAAAGGAAGGGTCAGTGACGACTGTAGCAAGGAGACGCGTGACAGTAGGACTGGCAGCACGAAGAGAGTCCGACTCCGGGTCGGGAAGAGCAGGAAGAGAGGACTCAGGAGGAGAAGGCAAAGGGGCACGCAGAGGAGCAGTGGACGGACGCAGAGACATCCGGTGCATGCCACGGACAGGAGGAGGACGCTGACGCGAACCACGACCACTAGAGTGAGCAGGACGGACAGGCGACGCAGGGCGAGACGCAGGCTCACGACGCTCAGCCAGACCTCCAGTAGGACCAGTGTAGGGAGAAGGAGCGGGCAGTGGGGAGGCCGGCTGTAACTGTAACTGTGACGGGACAGGCTGTGGACACTCTAAGGGAGGAGGAGGACCAGTAGAAGGCGGGAGACCAAGAACCTGCTGAAGGAGCGGAACGAAGTACGGCCGAGGCCGCGTGGCGACTCCAGACACGGCAGGGACAGCACCAGTACCCCCAGCGGCAGCACCAGCGCCAGCAGCACCTCCAGCTCCAGTACCTCCAGCAGCACCAGTAGCACCCCCAGCAGGACCGCCTCCAGGACCGACAGCAGTAGCCTCAGCGTCAACACCCTCAGCAGCTCCAGCTCCAGTCGTACCCGCAGGCCCAGCAGCTCCAGTACTCCCAGTACGAGCACCTCCGGGACCCGCGGCACCAGCACCCTCAGCAGCCGAAGAACCTCCAGCTCCAGCAGCACGCCTCCAGCGCCGGGCAAACCACTCGCGCAGCTCCTGTGGAGAGAGTGGCTCCCGCCGAGACGAAGCACCCGGAGAACCTCCAGGCTCAGCACCGTCAGACGCCACACGAGCAGGCCCAGCTCCCTCAGGCTCCGCACCCCCAGGCTCAGCACCTCCAGGCGTAGCACCCCCAGGCTCAGCACCCTCAGGCTCAGCACCCCCAGGCTCAGCACCCCCAGTAGTAGCACCCCCAGGCCCAGCACCCCCAGGCTCAGCACCCCCAGGAGTAGCACCCTCAGGCTCAGCACCCCCAGGCGTAGCACCCACACGCTCAGCACCCCCAGAGTCAGCACCCCCAGGCTCAGCACCCTCAGCAGCACCAGAGTCACCAGTAACCTCGACAGGCTCGACGGTGTCTACCTGGGACACACCTGAAGGGGCAGGACCCTGAGGGGGGAGGGGGTCTACCGGGGGGGGACCTGGCACAAGGAAGAGCGGTGGCGGGGGGAGGGACGGAGTGCGGTAGGGGAAGAGGCGGTAGTAGGGGACCGACTCGTCAAACGTGACGTCCTGGGAGGACAGAACACGGCGAGAGGTGGGGTGGTAGAACTGCCACCCTGGCGCGTCAGGGGGGAAGCCAAGGAAGACGCAAGGATCAGCACGAGGGGACAGCTTGTCCGCAGACAAGTCGCGGACAAACGCCCGAGATCCCCAGACACGGAACGCAGACGCATCGCCAACCTTCCCCGTCCACAGCAAAGCTGGGGAGGTCTCCGGCATGGAGACCCTGGGGTGAAGGTTGATCTGATGCGCCGTGTACCGAACCGCAAACGGCCACAGAAAATGGGGGGCAGCCGCATGCATCATGGACGTACGGGCGACGTCCATGACCATGCCAATGCGGCGCTCAGCAATCCCATTTTGCTGTGGAGAGTCCGGAAGCGTGAAGGTCTGGCGGATGCCTCGTGCACAACAGTAGGCTCGCAGAAGGCCAGAGGAGAACTCTCCACCTCTGTCAGAGTGCAGACGCAGAACAGGAAAGTCCGAGCCGAAGCTCTGCCTGAGCTGGAGACGAGCTGCGCGGATCCAGTCGATCAGCACCTCAGTGACATCACCCTTGCTGCGCAAGGGGAAGACTGTGGTGTAACGCGAGTAGTCGTCAACCACCAGCAGGAAGTAGCGCTCGTGACCCTGTCCACGGACGCGGGCCGGGCTCCACACGTCCATGTAAAGCGTCTGCAGCGGGGCCTCTGTCGGAGGAAACTAGGAGGAGTGAGGGGCAGCCCGCTGCCGCCCCTCGACACAAGGGACGCAGGTAGGGCCTGGCCCCGGAGGAAGGGGAGGGAGGGACCGGGGAAGACCAGAGACAAGGACACGGGAGGCCATGCCTCGGAGACGAAGCAGGGAGGGGTGACCAAGGCGGTGGTGCCAGAGGAGAGTCTCGTGAGACAGGAGGCGACACGAACAGGGGGCAGACTCAGGACCAGACCTGGACGCTGCAGCAAACACCTGACCCGACGCAGCTACCTGACCAGACGCAGTGACTGGGTGTAGCCACATGGCCTTCACTCTGCCCAAAGTTGGCAGCCAATGCCTCCAGGTACTTTCGTTGATGCACCCGCATGCACCGCTTCTCCACATCTCGTTCGATGTGGAGCCCAAGGTAGAAGCTCACGTCACCAAGGGCCTTGCACTTGAACTTGTCTTGAAGCTTCAGCATCACCTCCTTCACAAGGTCAGAAGAGGGTGAGAAAATGAGGATGTCATCCACATAAACCACCATGAAACTCCTCTGCTCCCCCTCGCCAAGCATGAACAAGGAGTGATCGGCCGTTGAGGGAGTGAAGCCGATCCCCTCCAACACTTCGCGCAGCTTCATGTACCATTGCCTAGGGGCCTGCTTCAGCCCATAGAGGGCCTTCTTCAGCTTCCACACTCTGCCACTACCATCATCAAACCCCTCTGGCTGCGCCATAAAAATCTCCTCCTCAAGGATGCCGTTAAGGAATGCCGTTACGATGTCCATTTGCTTTACTACCCATCCTTCGATGGCGGCTCCCGCGAATAGGGTTCGCAGCGTCGTCGGCTTCACCACAGGGGCAAACAGCTCCTTGAAGTCCACCTTCTCCTTCTGGTGGTACCCCTTGGCTACAAGCCTAGACTTGTAGCGCTCGATCTTGCCGTCGGCATCCGACTTGATTTTGAAGAGCCACTTGGACGTTATCGCCGTACGCCCCTCCGGTAGCTCCACCAATTCAAACGTGTCATTCTCCTCGATGCTCTTCAGCTCACTCTCCATGGCCTTCTTCCACTCCTCGGCATCACTACTCTCCAAAGCCTCCTTGAGAGTTGCTGGTTCTCCCGGCATCTCCACCGGAGAGAAGAACGCGAAGGCACACTCCTCGTAGTCACTCTCCTCGTCGTCTCCGACCATCATTGCCGCTCCGGCCAGGGCTGTCTTGCCCTGCTTTCCCGGCGCATCATAGGTCAGCCTATTAGGGGGTTGAACTCTCCTCTTCCCCCTTCCTTCCTCCTCAGCTGCAGGGACTTGAAGGCCTTGGCGTTGCTGCGGTGTGGCTCGAATCCGTGGAGCACTCGTAGTACGGGAAGGGAGTGACGGTGCACGCTCGCTCACTTGCTGCACCTCCTCCTCTTCTTCCTCTGCATCATTGGCCTCCTCTCCCCCATTCACAAGGGAGGATTGCCTTGTGGTTGTGCTGCCACTGCTCAGCTCCAAAGGCAACTCCACATGCTCCAAACCGGAACTCTTCACCTCCCCAAACCGCACGCCTATCTTCGCCTCATTCTCCGCCTTCCAATCCTTGTACATGAAGTTCTCCATGAACTTGCAGTCCCTGCTCACCAAGAACTTCTTGGTGAATGGGTCCCAAAGAAGCCATCCCTTGCTGTTTTGAGCCATGCCCAAGTGCACGGCCCACACCGCCTTGGCACCAAGCTTGTTGTGCCGAAGATGCTTAGGCACGAGCGCCATGCACATGCACCCGAACACCCGAAGCATATCCACCTTTGGCTTCCTTCCTAGCCACTCCACATAGGGCACCCATTTGTCTGCTCCCACATGAGTCAAGGCTCTGTTCTTGGCCACACATGCGCTCCGCACCGCATCAGGCCAGAAATAGTCGGGTAGCCCGGCTTCAATGAGCAACCCGCGTGCCGCCTCCGTGATTGTGCGGTTCGCTCGCTCGGCGATGCCGTTCATTGCAGGGGAGTATGGCATGGTGAGGGAGTGCCGAATACCATTCTTCTTCAGCCACAACCCAAACTCCTTGCTCAGGAACTCTCCCCCTCGATCGGTGCGGATTGACTTGACTAGACGGTCTTGTTGCCGCTCCACCATCGGGAACCAATCCGTCTTCAACGTTTCAGCCACGTCGCTCTTCTTGGCCAGCACGTACACCCAAGTCATGCGGGTGTAGACGTCGACAATGGTGAGAAAATGCTCAGCTCCAGCAGCTCCAAGCTTCAGGGGGCCCACCACGTCCATCACCACCTCATCAAGCGGTGCCTTTGCCGTTGCCTCCGAACTAGGGAACGGAAACCGGGTGAACTTGGCTTGAATGCACGTCGGGCAGCCAAGCACCTCATCGGGCTCCCCCTTCACACGTATGCCAGCAACCATCTCATTCTTCACTAGCTGCTGCAAGATGGGCAGGGCCACATGCCCCATGCGCCGATGCAAGGTGAGCCAATTACACTCCCCCGTAGCCGAAGTTGGATTGGAGAATGCCGCGCTCGCAATAGCGCCCCACATACTCTCTCCGTAGTCCTCCTCCGCTGCTGCCTCTGGGTTCTCCTCACCCTTTGGCTGCTCCTTGGTTGCTGCACCACTCTCCTTAGGTTCACTGAACTTGCTGGTCCCTCCAGGTTTGCTCTTCTTGAGCTCATTTTCCTTAGCGCGACCGTTCGCGCCATCGTCGCTACCGACCGCTCCATCCTTGGTGCTGATGCTTGCTGCCACTTGCCTCTCCTTAGGCATAGGGACCACTGGGATCTGCCACATCTCGTTGTAAACATCCCTGTCCTCATGAAGGTCCCAAAGAATTCGATCGCCAAGCCTTGCGGTGTAGGTCTTGGCTCCCTTCGAGTTCGTGTCCATGCCGGCCTTTGCCAACCGCCGCACGGAAATCAGGTTTGCAGCAAGGCTGGGCACCCAAAGCACGTTCTTGAGGCCCACCATCTTCCCATCAGCACCCTTGAACATGGCCTTGCCCATGCCTTTCACCTCTGCTCGCTGCCCCAAAGCCGATGTGACATGCTTCACCGGTGACGGCTCGAGTTCGGTGAGCAAGTCCGGGCGAGGTGTCATGCTATAGGTAGCGCCACTATCAATCACCCAATAGTCCAGGGGGTGTAGGGTCACCTTCCCCACAGCTGCTGGCTCCTCAAAGCCTTCATCCTTCTCTGGACCAGCCGGTACTTGCGTCGACACGAAGTAGAATAGACCCGGGTATCGATCGTCGCTCGGGTCCTTGTCGTTGTCTCCGCTCTTCATGTTTGCAGCTCCGCCACCGCGACCGCCACGGCCTCCACGGCCTCGTCCTCTCCCTCCTCCTGCTCCTCTACCCTCTTGGCCTTGAGCAGGGGTCCAACCATCAGGGAGTTTGTAGCAGTCGCGCCACATGTGTCCGCTCTTGTGGCAATAGTGACACTCGCCGTCGAATCGGCCGCGACCGCGTCCGTAGCTCTTGTCGTCGCTGCCGTAACCGCCACTCCTGCGGCCTCCGCCGAAGTTGCTGCCACCAAACCTTCCTCCCCCTCGTCCTCTGCCTCTTCCTCGACCATATCCACGGCCGATGCTCGCTGCCCCAGCGCCATCCGCACTCGCCAACTCACGGCGGCGGAAATCCTCTTGAAGGATAGCTCGCTTCACGTCTTCAAGCGAGAGGCGGGGCAAGTCGCGATTAAGGTTGATGATGAGCGAGGACCATGACTCTGGGAGTAAGGCCAGCAACTTGGTCTTCTTTTGGAGCTCACTGTAGTTCAAATCAGCTCCCTCAAGCCGCGTCAACAAGTCGAAGAATTTCTGCACCCCTTCTTCAACCGCTTCGTTTTCTTCAATTCGTAGTGCCGCCATTTGCCGTTCCAACACCACCGCTACCGCCGCTGTTGCAGGAGCATGTACACCCTTGAGAGCAGCCCATGCCTTTGGTCCTTTCTCTGGTTCACGCTGGAATGGCTTGATGTGACGGATCTGACTGCTCCCCAACGATTTCCCAAGTAAGAGATAGCCTTGTGCGCTCTTCCGCACCTACGGGCTCTTCTCCGGGTCGTTCTCAGGACACTTCTCCGTTCCTTCCATCACCTCCAGCAGGTCATAGTGGTCAAAGATGTTCTCCATCTTGAAGGACCATTCAGCAAAGTTGTCACCGTTGAACTTGTCAAGCCCAAACACCCTAGGCTCATCCCTAGGTGGGCCAAGACTTGGTTGCATGGGCGCCATGGCTGAATCACGGGGTTGGCCTTGAGCTTGAGCTTCTCCACTGCCACCAGCACCTCTGCCACCCCTTTCCTCAGGTCCAGACATTGTCGAAACTGCTCCAAGGGGCTCTGATACCACTTGTTATAGTCACAATAGGCTTGAATGTGCCTAAAACGAAAGATAGAGAGCACAGACGGATTTCTGCACAGCGGCTTCAAACGTTGATAGCGTTCTGCTCACAGCTGCAAATGACTTGATTCAAATTGGATCTGGAGCGTCTTTACGTCGTCTACAATTAGCAATTTAGATTGCACGATTTGATAAAGAATTGACGACACAGCGTCGGTTTGAACGAACGGTACTATGGCAGCCACTATAGTCTTAGAACACAAGATAGGAAGAGTTACGAGTTGGGAATGACTCCCAGCTCCTACAAACCCCAAGAGCCGAGGTACAGTGATGTGGAACAGTGCCACACTGTCCCCAACCACGAAGGGTCTCGAAACTACCCTTCACTAGGGCCTACACCAAGTGAAATGTTACACTACACAAAGTAATGTAACTATCTTCAATATCTTGAGGTGTACCCTTTTGGCAAGCTTCGAAATCACTTGAGGCTTGACACCAAGGCTCGGGCTCTTCATCACAAACTCATCCTTGAGTTCTTGATGGGTCTGCTGCACACACCTGCGACACGCCGAACGTTCGACACAGGACAAAATAGAAACCGCGCACGACAAAATAGAAACCGCGCGCGAGACACAAACGACCGCGTAACACGCGTCTA